ACTATGTATGTCTACGTTGCGTGTTGGCGCGGCTAAATTGCCAGTGTATCTTGCTTGTTTCAGAATGAACAACTGGTTGAAGTTTGGTAGTGTTGACGTCGATAGGAAGATACGCCACACTAGGCTATTGTGCCCAGGCTGGGTTGTACGATGAATGAATACACAGGGAATTAACCTGTCCGACGTTTGTTTCTTGACACAGACTACCCTCGCTGGTCGAAACGTCGAACAGTTTAATTTATTATATCAGCTTTGTAGTCACCGGCATTTTCACTGTGAACCAATAATCCACAGAGTTCCATCCCAGATACTGTGATGAACCCCATCAGGTCTTGTTTAAGGATGGTACAAAGTGGCTTAGCAACCTTCCAAAATTTAGAATCTGAATGCCAGACTATATTTTCTGATGTACTCTTCAAACGGATCAAGAACACCTCATTGAGTGAATAAACCTCATGTCTGATATATGTCACCTAGCAAACCGTTTCCTCATCCACCTACGATACAGAGTATTTGAAGCAAATTCTAAGAAAAGAAAAGAAAACTCTCCAAGAAATGTACCTCCGATTATTAGTTTGTCAGATGATTGAGTCAAAACGAAGCTTAATTCGTCGACAAAATGTAGTCGGCTTTCGAATACAACAACGACATCGCTACTGGTGATACGGACAATCGAAATGCTTAACTCATACATCACCTAGTTAGATCGATCATCGCTCGGTTTTACCTGCTGCATATACCGGTGGATGGAGGAAAACCCTTGGCTGCAAAGTTTTTATCAGCAAACACCAACTAAGCAGTCACAAATCTATTGGACAGGAAAGTAAATGTCTCATATAATTTTTAAAAACTGAGCATTCTTACGCGTCTTCTTGAACTTCCATGGATATTCATTGATTATCACACAATTGTCAACAAACACTGAAAAGCAGTTCCATAAGTTCCGTGGTAAACTTCACCTTCCGTTAGACGCGCGGCAGAGCTTCTGCACGACTACAAGTACTCTCATGTATTCTCAGTAGTATATGCTGCTACACCAGTAGAACGACCTAGTCTTTTCCATCTGATTTAAAGCGCAGGGGATCAACTAACTGCCGCAGTTGTTGGAAGAACGTTTGAACAAGTGGCCAGGAGATAGCGGATGTTCCCATAATCTCCCATTGTTGTATCTTTTTCTTGCTCTTGATGGGTGCCACTAGGTTGACATTCAGTCAAATGTACTAGAACTTTGCATTTCAAAGATATCACATCCTACCTCACCAAGGCCGGGAGGGACCAACCACAAATTCCAGCCCTTCACACAACTTTGGTTCGTATCCCCGAATCATCACTACTTGGGTCCGGCGACTGTTTATTTTTCGACCGCTCTGAGCTATTGCCCAAGTCCTTTGTGGGTGTTGTAGTTCATCTGGTGACCGAGAGTGAAATAGCTAGGATGACCAAGGCATTTTTTTCACTTTCGAATTTCCAACTATTTTATCTTTCTGAAGCTGCATGTTAACTCCCCTGAACTATCTGACAGCTTGGAAAATTTACCTATCATGTCCATCCGGATTTCAATGGAAGCCGCTGATTAGTGGACGTTCAACAGCGCTGATATTTTGAAGTCATGCGGTGGTGTTTACTTCCCAGCTCGATTTTGTTCGGATGTGCACATCAAAATACTTTCTTTCAGACTGTGCTTTAAACCACATAGGCGGGAGCCAAGCCTTCACGGAAAAGTAGCTATAGAATTCTATGCCTATGGCGGACGAGTATTGCACTGGTCAATTACTATCACGTTTTTTCCGCGGCCTCCGTGAATTCATTGAATCTTCGAGAATTTCATTGCCGCCCACGATGAAGTGGTATTCATTTTTCTGAGCCAATAGTAAGGCTTGGCGATGCCTTTTGGCAGAAGTATTCCCACGCTTTTCAAACCCAGTCCCTTGGGGCCCAACAACTAGGTCTTTCTTTTTTTCTTATGGAGCCTTGTTTAATTAAATTGTCATGGGTGTATGGCAGGGAAGTCTCGGTATTTTCCATTAGTGCTGTTCTCGATGTCGGCGATAATATTTCTGTAATGTCAGGTTTCACTTTAAAACTGAATGCAGAACCAGAAAAACCTAAAATATTGGCAAAAGAACCTTTAAGAAATATCAGCTGTACTGAGCGATAAGGTTGCCTTGACACATTTATCAGAATGTACGGAAGGGCCATCCGTAGAAAAACCGAAATGATGCTAAAAAGACTGCCATAGTCACAACACGCTTCATAGGGAAGCAGGACGACAGAAAGGATCATCTACGACTTGTATTTGTTATTTTACTTTACGACTAATTCCTCCCGGATAAAGATGAGCAGGCTTCAAGAATATCCTAAATCGCTATTCCGCATGCAGCACAATCGCCAGTAGTGTCAGCTGCAATAAAGCTGCGATTGAAACAAATTGTCAGCGAAGATTTGAACGCTCCGAATTAAGTGGTTCTGAACCAAGCCTGCCGAATGGTTACAGGTACTAAGATCAGCAAACCATGGTTTTTGATTAAATCTTCGGTTACTTGTTTTGTCGCAATCTCAGTAACAAGCGCTTTGGTTGTCTGAAAGGAATTCCGAGTGCGTCCCAAAAAACAGTATACACCAGTTCGGAAGATTCGTCCAACCAGTCACCCGAAACTCTCTAGGTCACAAAGATCCGAGCAGTTGTTCGGAATAACAAGTTACCAAAACCATATCGTCTATTACACTCTACTGAAGCAGTGCTGATTTGGCTGTTTGAATCCCGTTTGTGTAAATAGCTGGGATTTGTGCTCAGTCTTATCCTGTCTTGATAAGACCGGTGGAGAATCACATCAAGCACCTCAAAGGTTTCACCCAAACCGACTCAGCGTCCCTTCTACCGACCTGTTTCTATCTACCCTAAATGTGATTTTGTATGTGGACAGTTGAAGAGACATGCGAACTGGTTAAATTCGATGCATCTGGTTGTGACATTTCTTCTTACACTTATTGGATGTACAGATGAAACTAAGTGTCTGAACTTGTTTGCTTGTTTGTCTTACTACTTGGTCAACCCGTGGAGGTACATTCACGTAAATGAAGAAAACGCACGGATGGTAATCTATGCTATCTCCGCTCTCATTATAAATACGCATAAAAGACTGAACTCCCACTTTTGTAATTTAGAATTGGTCAAGAAACCAGGTCGCACATGAAATAAGACACGATCCTATCCGGTTTATGGGCGGGAATACTCGTACTAGTTCCCGATTACCCGCTCGTGGCAGATAAAACCTTTCCTTCCTTTCTTTCCTTCAAATGATTGATAAGTTAGTACAGTATTCTCACGGCCGTCTTGATCAGTAAATACACGTGAAGGAACCATGGATATGTTATTCTTAACCGTTTCTCATCTTAGCAATTACCGTAGAAGAATGCGGTCAAAGCAATCACAGGTAAGGTAAATTAGGCCTATTTACAAAAATGGATACACCTCATAGCACGGTCCATAGTGAAGGCAAGGAGGATGAAGACCTGCAGTTCAACACATCATACATTTAAACAATAGATCAAATCCTACAACTGACAAAACAAACAAACAATCTTGTCTCGTTTGAATCCAGACCACTATTTCTAAGTTCTTCTTAACGCAGACAATTCTTCAGGCCGGCTTTTCTATCTGAGTATCTGATTATATCTGGTGACAGTGATGACTGAGTCTTACCGTGAGACTCAGCTACCCCCTCACACACTGGGAGACTTCCAAGGGACTTTCATCTTGAGAGGTCGCCAATCGAGGAGCCATTCAACGGGACCACATGTTTTGGATTCCATGTCTAAATACGAGTTAACCACACTGATGAGCAGACGAATGGTTAAGTTTTAAAACTACTGTCCCGGTGGTCGTTAGTTCTAAATATGCTAGAGATGTTAGTGTTAATGCACGACTGAAAATCGCCTATTCATTGCCTTGTTCAATGGCCCATTTTAGTAGTCACCATTTTCAAAGCCTACTCGTCGCCAAGAACAGGCCTATGGGCCTCGTTTCAAACAGTGATACCCAGTTTTCCTGAAATCTGAAAAGATACACAGAGCGACAATCGACAGAAATTAAAAATACTGATGATTCAGGGACCATCTGATTCTTGTCCACAGAATACTGAGTCCGAAAAACTGTCTACGCAGCCTTCGAGCTTCATTGCAGAACTTTTGCACAAAACGCACTCAATCTTGTCTACCAGCTTAAAAGCCATTTAAAATAAATCCTTGCCTATGTTTTGTCCAATTGGGATACACCTTCTCTCTCTATCCCAGCTTTTTAAAGACGCAACTCAGAGCCGATTTCAAGCACCTGCACAAGAATAAACGAAACGTTAGTGCTACAGTTTATGCGTTGCTGTGAGGGATACTGATCCGTGCTACTTGGCCTGGGTAGCCGGGTGAACAAGGGCGCGGACCACTATTTCGACGATCTGAGTTCAAGTCAGTCGCCGGCTCACCTCCTGATGCTCTGTATGCTTCTGTTTCAGAACTAAAGGACCAAACAAGAGGGACAACAAAAGCAAACTCTTGCCATCAGTTTTCATCTCCGCTACTGAGATGAATGTGCGGGGCTACTCAAGCATACGTCTGTCTACCTATTTTAGTCCTTGAACAAAGCACCGAAATACTCACACAATTCAATGACCTAACTGCTAGCCAGTTATCAGCAGCGAAACTGCGTAAGAATCTTAAATAGAGTCCTTGCAACTCTGTGTTGGTTAGTTAAGTTCACCCATGCTGAACTACACTTCCTACAGGTCTGAAATAGCAGCACATGTTTTCAAGTGACATAAAAAATATAACTGGTCAATTTTTGACAGATTAGCAGATCGAATATGACAAAGTTGCAACTCACCTTTTATGATCTGTTTTAGCCCAAAAAATCCCTTATTGATAATTTTTGAATTTATCGATTTGTTTCTGGGTCAGTTAGTTTGCCTCAGTGCGTCCATCATCGCAGTGAACAGTCGGCGATAAAGATGCCACGCCGCTACCCATTATTAGGAAGAGAAGATCCACAGTCCATCAAGGCAACCCGGCCCTTCACTGCGAAATCCGAACAAGAAATATGGGATTTAGGCGATCCAACGAACAAAAGGGAAAGTAAACCGATGAAAATCAGTCAGTTCCAACGAGATATGAATTCATCCAAATTTCCATTTTTACCGGATCATTCTGCACCAAATATGGCTCCGCGGTTGGCATGGATGACTGAAATTCAGAATTTGGATTTTGCTCTCCTGTTACCAGATCTCATCGAAGGATTGACTGACAAAGAAAAGTCCTATGCAACAACTGCGATGTTAGCAATCACCGACGTCTTTAAGCATGGCCCCGTGGAAAAAGTGATTGATGCTCTTCCCACTTTGACAATTGCCGTAGGGAAAGCCTT